AGCACAACCCCTTTCCAACATTTTCCAACCATGCCCAACCAAACGACTCTTGCCGTCCAGAACCCTCAAAGATCAAGGTGGCAAAGCTTCCGCACATACCTGTGCTCAGTGCAAATATTCAACAGCTGGATCATCATCGGGAGCTCGCGCATGCTACACTCACACAACCGCCTTGCACAGGAAGCAAATCTCAAGTTGGTCAAAAGCATTCACATACACATCTATCCGCAATGATTCTTGTGTCAAGCTGGTAGCAGCAGACTAGCAGATCTGCAGTTTTCCCTCTTCATAAAACCTGCAGGCCAACATGACGAGACTGCTTGATATCTTTGTCTGCTGGTACATGATAGTAGCAGCTTTGCATACAATAATTGCAACTTGAAACTTCATTTTCACGTTGTCATGAATTCACACCCTTGAACCTCAAGACTCGAGAATCCGTTTCGCACAGCTGTGTGCAATCCTGGAGCCTTCTCTACATTGGGCTTCCCCTCGTTATTTTAATGACGAAACAGCATTTATGTCACTGGAATGAAGTGCCATCTTCATTGTCAGGCATTGAAATGTTTCAGGTTTGGATACTAGATTTAGAGGTACTGGTTTGTGCCAGGGCAAACACTCATGGCCACCAATTTTCTGCAAAAAAGTACAGCAAACAATGAAGTCCATGGTACAAAACGAAGAATGTTGAGAAGTGCGCGGGCTGGATCAAGAAGTTCCTCTAGGGTCAAGGCCTGGCCACATCTCCAAAGACGCAGCACGCTGACCATATACATCATTACCCCTGAGAAGCCTTTTGATATGCATTGTCCTGAACCTGTCTAGAACTCCATATGAGTCATAGTCTAAACTCCTTACAGGGGTTTACATGGGGGATTATATATGGGCAGCATTCTAAGGGTTATCGAGGGCATACCTGGAGTTTAGACTATAGCTCATGTATCTGAGGCATGCAAAAACCATGTTCAAACCCCTTCCTCGTAGCACATGAGGTCGTTAGTCCCGAAGCGTCCGCGAGGCATCGCGCTACCTACTTCGAAGCAGTTCTCGTTGTACATGGCCTGCCAAATTGCGGGCCCAGGCTTTCAAATGCATTCTGAATGATTTCTTGGGAGTGTCACATCAGTTCACAAGCAGCTAACAATCCTAATCAGTCCACTACGGGACATATGGAACATCACTTGGGTCACGGGCTCGCGTCACCAAAGAAACTGTTAAACATGACTCTGAAAATCCTCTTCATTCAAACAAAGGTACCGAGGGTGATGCACCATAGTGAATATCAACCGGATGAACGCATGGCAGTACCCCTTCTTCTAAACTGCATGCTACAGCTTGCAGAGACTGGCAGATGAGAGTCGCTCAAAGCATCCCCACTCCTACATATCCCTCATGCCTAAAGTCTCAGGCGTGCAATGGTCATATTGGGGGTATATTGGGATAATGGATAATGGAAAGTAGAATGGAAACAACTATTTAGGCTTTGGGGTTTACCCTCCAGATCAAATTTCAGAGGTCATCAGTAGGTCCTTCTGCAACTGTTGATCCTCTCCACTCAGGGTTGGCCTTTCTATGGTGTTACCATGGCTTGGGAGTCCTAATTCACGTGCCCTTAAGCCAACACCCCAAACCCCGCATATATATGTATACCCCAAACCTGAAATCCTAAACCCCACACCCTAAACGCAAAACATATTCTGTCTGAAGTTGATAAAATGTGGGCTGCATGGGGAGCATGACAGGAGGTAGCTTCCCCATGTAAATGTCGGCACGAGATGACGAACAGACATGGCCTAACTGCAGGAAACTGACGCCCAGTAATAGGAATCAAGCGCTGGGGACCATGAGGTGGAACACAGCATCATCCAACATAACCCCGGACGGAGCGAGCAGCTCCATCCGAGAAAGCCTACTCACAATGTAGAAATCAGAAGTTCAAAAGACCCATTTTGCTCCATGTGGGACCATGTTGAGAAGGAGCCCTTTCCCACACAGCTATAGCGGTCCGCACCTGCCAGATGTGCGAACCATTGTACCCAGTGTTGCGCTCCGGGTTCTTGATGAGGTTCACATCCTGGTCGACATGGATTGCGGGCTTTGGGGTCCACAAACTGGCTTGCTTGTTTCCTCCCTCACTTGCTCGCTTGCTCGCTCTTTCATGGTAGTACCTCTTCTCTTTACTTTTAATTGTCTTCTTCTTCCTGCTCTTCCTCCAGGAGTCCTTATTCTTCGCCTTCCTTTGCTCTTCTGGCTTTTGTCAACTGTCGCACCCTGCGTCGCCGGCTCTGTCATTCTCCAGGCTGCGGTTTTGTGCTTGTCCGGGCTGGAGGCATGGTGTCGGTAACAGCTCGCTGCATGGAGATGTGGACCGAATTGAGGAAAAGTATGCAAAAAGATTCCAACACACCATAAAATTTGAACATGAAGCTCATCATTCTACGTGGCCAGCAACACGATTGAAATCAAGCGCTCATCATTCTGTCTGTATATCCATCCTAAACACCCATGATGGACACTAAGATCGAAGAGCAGCAGAAAAGGGCCTATAGTAGCTTCCATGTTCTTTTCCATTATCCCTATAAAACCCCTAGATATACCCTAAATAGAGAACCCCAAGCCCCAAGATCTGGTGCGGTAGACCTCCAGCTCCACGTCTTTCAGGTGATCCCCAGAACACATGTCCACCCAGTACGTTGGCAAATCTTCCTGAGGGCAACAGGTGTTCAGAGTTTGCCCCCGATGATGGAAGGCAAATGGAAAATGCCATGTAGTACATAGGGGCTTTTATATACATATATGTGTGTGTATAGGCATAATGGACAAGCAAATGGAAACTACTGCATCGTATATAGGGGCTATATAGTGATAATGGACAAGAAAATAGAAACCACTACATAGTATGTTGCGATTATATTGGGGAACGCAAAAGAAAATGGAAACTAATACAAAGGCATATATGGGGTTTAGTGTTTGCCAGTGAAGTAACCAGCAGTCTCCCCCAGAAACTGTTGATCGCATGTCAAAGTTCTGTTCAAGACTGCCACTAGACGGGTGTTTGACTCAAGAAAGCCATGAAGCATGCGGTCTCAATACCCTAAATCATTACCAATAACACTTTCTAGACTCCTTGCATGGTTATGTTTTAGCTTACCTCACGGAGCCTCAAACAGATACTGGTAACCGTTTTAGCCCTTGTAGTCACATCTTCAATATTCAGGGCCTGCAGCCTCAGGCCCATCTCAGTCACTTTAGGCGACTTCCGAAGACCTGAAGCATCCTCAAGCTCAAGGCCTGGAATCCTTGACCAGGTTTAGGGTTTAGGGTTTAGGGTTTAGGGGTTGGGGCAAAAACGTTGAAAGCCATGTGATCCGAAATAAGCCCATTCATCTGGATACACCCGGATTATTGTTGATGGTGTTTCTATTGTGACTATCATGACTATCATTACTATTACTACAAATGTTCTTACTATTATTGCTACGATCACTATTACTGCTACTATTGCTATTACTACTATCGTTATTCCTATAATTACGATGATTACACCTACAAACGGTTTACCAAATGTGATAGTTGTGGAATCCTTGCTTTCCTCACAGTTCGTTTACAGGGCGAAGCCCCTGATGTTCGGAGAGGCCGAAACCATGAAAAACGTGTGCCTACTGTAGAAGCCTTACTACTTGGGAAAACTGCTCCTTTGATCCTCATCAAATATCTTACTCTACAAAGTCTGGTGCATCTGAAAACCTGATTCAGTCATGTAGGTACCTTTCTACACCCCGCACCCTACATGCTGTTCGAACTCTTTAAGCGACATCTCAGACTACCGGACGTGGGCTTGCCAGATTAGAAAGACCTCCCCTTTGCATGCCGGCTTCTCCAAAGGCCCTTCCAGAATTTGCGGTTGAGGGGTCAGGGTTCAGGGCTTAGAGGAAGGCCTTACCAGTTAAGGGTTTGACTTTTAGGACGGTTGAGGGTTTGGGGTTCGGGGCTTAAGGCTCCAGGTTTATGATCGTAACTCCAGAACTTTTGGACCTGAAAACTCTCCGCGTTGAATCTCGAAGCCCCTGAGAACAATATGGCGACATCAATTTGATTTCTTTACCCGACATGTCCCGCTTCAAAAGGCCATTGGAGGCTATAACTACCTGTTATACTACTATTATGAGTACTTGTAATGCAAACAA